GGGATCCTGTGGGACAGGAGCTTTGGGGACATAGTCAGGGACACTCTGGGACCCTGGGGATGGAGAGGATATGGGGACAGTGGGGATGGGGGCATGGGGACAGTGAGGGTGGGGACAGGAATAGTCCAGGACCCTGCAGATGGAGGGGATGAGTAGCATTTGAGACATGGGGACATAGTGACAGTGGGGATGGGGACAGTAGGGCTGTTCCAGGACCCTGGCTATAGAAGGGACATGGGGAAAGTGGGGATGGGGGCAGGGACAGTCCAGGGCCCTGTAGATGAAGAGGGCATTGAGGCAGTCAGGATGGGCCTGGGGACAGCAGGATGGGGACAATGGGGATGTTACAGAGCGCTGTGGATGGAGGGGACATGGGGCCAGTGAAGATGGGCTTGGGACACTCCAGGACCCTGGGGATGGAGGGGATGTTGGGCACTGGGGACATGGTTAGGGCCACTCTGGGTCCCTGGGGATTAAAAGGACATAGGGACAGTGGGGACACACTCAGGGACACTCTGGGAGCCCAGGGATGGGGACATGGAGACAGTGGGAATGGGCTCAGGGACCTTCTGGAAACCTGGGGATGAAGGGGATATGGGGCATTGGGAACAGTCAGGGACACCCTATAATCATGGGGATAGATGAAACATGGGTGCTGGGAATACTCCAGGGCCCTGGGGACAGAGGGGACACACTGAGGGGACATCCTGGACAGGGGCAGCCAAGCTCTGTGCAGGTAAAAATGCTGCCTTGCCACCTCTGGAGTACAAACCCCCTCAGCAGCACCTGTGGCTACCCGGCACATCCCATCCAGAGCCTGGGGGTCCCGGGGTGGGACACCCCTGGGGTGGGTGACAGGAGGTGGGACACGGGGACCGGGACAGGGCAGGTGGGAGGTGCAGGCACAGGGCAGGGCGGGGCTTTGCCTTCAATCCCATTAATCCTCTGCTGGAGTTAATTTTGGCCCACGCTTAACAAAGGTGACACCGAGGTTTGGGGGGGCAAGGAGGGGGGGATGGACATGGAGCTGGGTCTCATTCTGCTGTCACCCCCTCTGTGTGTCCCATGCAGGAACGGGAGCTGTCACCGGAGGAGCTGGATGGTAAGGGGGGGACACGGGCCTAAGGGAATGGGGGGGCACATCCTCATGGAGGGATCTGCCATGGGGACATGGCCATGGAGGGGTGCCCCACATCCAAGAAAGGACCTGCCCCGGGGTGACACATGTCTGTGTGACCCTCCTTCTCTGATCTCCCTGTCCCCACCCATGGCCATGCCTAGAGCTGCTGGACGCCTTCAAGGAGTTTGATACGGACCAGGATGGCTACATCAGCTACAAGGACCTGGGCGAGTGCATGCGCACGCTGGGGTACATGCCCACCGAGATGGAGCTCATCGAGATCTCCCAGCACATCAAGATGAGGAGTGAGTGGGGTCGGGGCGCCGGGGAGGGGAGCAGGGAGTTGCTGGGGCGCTGAGGGTGTCCCCTTCCCACCGCAGTGGGCGGCCGCGTGGACTTCGAGGACTTTGTGCAGATGATGGGCCCGAAGCTGCGGGAGGAGACGGCGCACATGGTGGGCGTGAGGGAGCTCAAGATCGCCTTCCGCGAGGTATGGCCACTGCCACGGGGACAGCAGGCATGGTGTCCCCTCCTCAGGGGCACCACAGCCATGAGGGGACCACGAGCGTGGTGGGGACAGTGGCTCTGGAAAGATCCTGGTGGGGACAATGATGATGGGGGCATGGAGGGGACGGTGGTTGTGGGAAAACCAAGGGAAGATGGTGACCTGGGGGGTGACCGAGGACATGGAGGGGACACTGACCATGGGAAGATGATGGGGGAGCAGTGACCATGGTGGTGATCACAGACATGGAGGGGACAGTGGCCGTGCGGTGACCACAGGCACGGAGAGAACAGTGACCAGGGGGGAATGATGACCATAGCGATGACCACAAGCGCAGAGGAGACAGTGACCACTGGAGCTGGGGGGGTGCCAGTGGCCGTGGTGGGAGGGTGACCCGCACCCCGCAGTTCGACATGAACGGGGACGGGGAGATCAGTACGGCCGAGATGCGCGAGGCCATCGCGGCGCTGCTGGGAGAGCAGCTGAAGGCGCAGGAGGTGGACGAGATCCTGCAGGACGTGGATCTCAACGGGGACGGTCACGTGGACTTCGACGG